GACGCAGTCATCAGATCTTCTGGAAACTGTTCCCTGACATGAGGTAGAAGTCTGAAAATGTCGCTAGAAGGATCTGTTTGTAGAGAGAGGCGGTAAGAAGAATTTTAAGGTAAAAGAGATAGATCAAATACACCTCCCTTTCTGGGGGCCTTGACATGAGCAGAGAGGAAAAAGAAGGAAGAGGCCAACGAGCTGCTAAAGGCTTCAAGGGCAGAGTCTCCATAGCAATTCCTTTCTTCTAAGTTTACTAAATCATGATAATTGAAATTAAGATAAAATCAGGATTGTAAGAGCTTGAAGAATCTCAGTGGCTCCTTATATGTAAACCAGAGACAAAGTGTGCCTGAAGTCTGTAATAATCTCATTATAAGTGAATTAAAGTCTGACTAATTCACAAATAGCAGGTTTTTACTGAGATGATTTTCATTTTTTGGAAAAAAGAAAGTAAATCCAAATGAAATAATTGGCTAGAGGTAAAGTATTGAAATAAACAAATAAGGAATTTTCTGGACAAATTTAGGTTGGAGTGTATCCTAATATTTATACTTTGCTTTTTCAGGTTTGAGTCAGTTTCTGAGTCCATAACTGAAATGGTGCTTAACTCACAAACCTCGTATCACGTCTTACGGGGTGCACGGAGGGGTACGCTGACTTCAGTCCTGGGTATCCAAGGTCTATAACTTTCCGTGCTACCTGGGATTAAAGTTTCTAGTGTCTGTTTTCATCTCCAGAGATGGATTTTAATTTATTTAAATTGATGGAACTCCCTCAGCTGCTTTACATTAATAAAATTTAAAAATAAACAAGAAGGAAAGAGAAAATTTTTTTACTAATGAATTATCAGATGAGGCTTTTGTGGCTAGACCTCTAAATGCCTCGGATGAAGAGATTCACACTCAGCAGCTATTAAATCCTCGGGATGGAATAGTCGCTCTGCTGCTAACGAACAATTTATTTTGAAATGTAATGAATTCGGTTTCATGATGAGTTTTCCCTGCACTGAAGTCTTTTCACATTGCGTCTTTCTAATGTGTGTTTCTCTTGGAGATCTTCCAATGTACGTCTAGGTTTGCCTTACTGGAAGTGGACTTACCAGAATCGAGAAGCAGCTGATAAATTGATATAGTATCAATAAGATGCAGTTCAGCCCCAGGCCAACTCTTTGCTCGGCTTCCCAGATTTTCAGGCTAACGTTAGTACGTTGCATGTCAGATCTTATTTTTTTATTGCTTTATAAACACTGGAGTTAATCAACCCCAGGTTCCCAACCCCTAGGGTTCTCTTTTCCGTGTATACAGCTCTGAGCCTCATTTTCTTTCTTGACCTCATTTTTCTCATCTATTAAATGGGAATATGACAACTTTCCAGAGTTCTTGGAAGGTTACAGATAATATCCCAATGGTGGGCTGGGGATTTACAGAAGGTACTGGGTATATAGACAGGATACTACTTCCATTATTATCCACTATGTAATAACGTCTTCCAGCAATGAGCACCTTTCCAAACTTAAGCATTACCTCCTTCATATCAGATTTCAGACAAATTAAGCTCTCAGTAATATGATACAGTAAAGGGAAGGTAATGTAGGGACATAAATTATTTGTGAATTCATATTAAACACTGGATAATTGGAGGGTATACTTTGGAAAATATGACAAGTGTTTTTCTTGGTTTTTTTGTTGTTTTGTTTTTCCTAAAAAAATTTTAAATCAATCTTTTGCATTTTATGCTATTATCTCGTATTTCCAGTGATACTTGTAGAATCTGTGTAAGTATTTATACGTTAAAATACCTGGGGGAAAGTTCATTTAATTTTTTTTTTTTTTTTTTTTTTTTTTTTTTTGAGACAGGATCTCATGATACAGTTCAGGCCGGCCTTGAGCTCACTTTGTAGCCTGGGCTGACCTTGAACTCTCACTGATCCTCCTGCCTCAGCCTCCCAAGTTCTGGAATTACAGGCATGCACCACCACACCCGGTTTTCATTTAAACTATTGAAGGGGATATTTTTCTGTTTCCTTTTGTGAGTGATGTTTCTATAACAACCTGTTGTCATTTAACGGTGCTTTAGCACGTTATTATACCATTGATCACCGCTGCGTGCACTGTCAGTCTTATGGCCTCTTGACAGACGAGGAGACAAAGCCCTCCGAGAGGACTAGAGACTTCTGCGAGAAGAGGGGAATCTATAACCCTGTCCTCAAACTACTCACTCAGAATTTCCATTTTTCCTTTCATGGACATGAATTTAAGAAAAGAAAACAGAAAGAAGGTGGGAGACAGAGTAGCTCTGTCTCAGTAATTAATACCAGTGTTCATTTTTAAAGCGAAATTCATTGTATCTCTTCTGTTTAAAACATTTGGGAGTTCCCCTTTGCCTATTGTATTTGGAAGGTATTTCTCTAGTCCCCATGTAAACCCGCAACTCCAAAAGAAAGAGAACTATTCAAAAATTTACGAACATACCAAATCTTTTCATGCCTGTAAGTCTTTCTTATAGTTTCTTCTCTATATCTTCTTATACTCATCTCAATATTTATATTTTTATATCTATTGTGCACTTACTTAATATATCAAATGCTTACATAATGCTTACTATGTAGTAGGCACTGTATGATGTAATTCATAATTATTAATTAACTTAATCTTCATAATAATCTTAGGAAATAAATATTACCCCATTTTGCAAATAAAAAAGTGTGCAAACTGAAATGTAGAGTCAGGAGTCCAAAAGAGGAGTTTAATTTCAAAGAGAGCACTCTTAACCACTGCACCGTTAGTTATGTACCACCAGTAAGCTCACAACTGAAACCTCTGTCACACTCAGTAAACACTAATGTCTCTATAGCACGCTACCAAAGGCCTCACAGTTGTAGAATTCATTACTTTGTGCATTTACCAGAATCTGAAGCCTAACTCATACTTTCAGACTCAGAAACTCGATATTTTTCAGCAGCAACCAGAAGCACAGATTCTTCTTTGAGAGTGGACCCATGATGAGTTGGCCTGTGAGGCAAATGTTTCAAACTGGGCTGCTTGTTTGTGGATTCACAGCAAGGAATAGAATCATCCATCATGTGGACCAGCATACTCATGTCAACATGTCCAGCCCTGTACCTCTTGACAGTCACGAAAATACAGATTGTTTGTGGCAAACAGCATGGGCAATATGGCATAGGAAGAATGTTTCTCATATAAGTGGAACATTTTTTAGACTCATCTAGGCCAGCATGCCTCATCTATTATCAAGACAGTAAAATTTTTCCAGTGGGACACAAAGTTCATTGGCCTTTTGTTTAAGGTACTGCTAAATTCGTCCTTGACTACCTGACTGGCCCTTTCTTTTCTAATTTTAATGCACATTAGTATAACCAAGTCTTTAGGCCTAACTTACCCACAGTGTAATTGTGTTTTCAGATGATATTTTCTGGTCAGTATTCTCAAGATATAACATCATTACTATGCAGTATTTTTATACTGATTGTGATTATGATTAATTTTCTTAAAAGCAAAGCCCAAGCTGTATTCCTCAGTCTTTGTACTCTCCACAGTAAGTTTGCTACCCAGCATGTAACAAGAGCTCGATGGATGTTTGTTGAACCAAAAAATGAATTAAGAGGCATTAAAGCATTATGATTATGAGGATAAGTTCTGCAGCCTGATGACCTAGTTTCATATCACAGCTCTACAAGTTAATGGTTGGGTGTTTTAGGTGCCATATGTAACCTCCTCAGTGTTCTCATCAGTAAAATGGATACAGTGATTGTATGTTATCTCTCAGGATTTTTGAGACGATTAAATAAATTAATACACAAAGCAAACTTAAGGTTACACCTAGAATTCCATCACTGTTAGCTCTTAGTATATTCGGTCTCTTGGAATTCCGTAATCGTTTTACTTGTTTTTTGAAAAATGTGGTTTAATTTCAAAAGAATAAAATTTCTAAAGAGTAAAAAGTTTTATATGCAACTTCTTTATTCATGAATTCCCATCACTGAATGTTTTATCAAAACTTAATTACTTTTGTTCAGAAGAATTGAGTAAAACAGAAACGCCCATGTAGTGCCGGTGGGAATAGAAAATGGCACAACCTTCATGAAATCCACTTTGGCAATACCTTTCAAGTGGCTTAAAAAAATTAATTCCCTTTAGTTTAATAATTCCCTTTCTAGAAATTTATCTATTTTAAACATACAGGAACTTGGATAAAACATATATACAATAATGGTTTATTCTACTCTGATTTATCAAATTCTATGAAAATTACTTAAATGACAAGTAATGAAAGAATGATTATACAAATTTGTTATATTATTTGACGGAATATCATGTGGTTCTCGGTGTAGTATCTTTAAAGCTTATTTAGTAGCCTGGGAAAATACTTATAAAAAATTTGAAGTGGAGAAAAAAACAAGCTGCAAAACTGTATAAATGATGTGATTTCCTTTGCATCAGAAAGGAGTAAGTAAATAAAAATAATAGTGATTATCTTTACATGAGACAACTACCAGGGACGTTTTCCTTCTTTTGGGTAATCTGTCTTTTTCAGAACCTCTATCATGAACATATATTTTAGAAATAAAAGTAATTGTTCAAGAACTCTGACCTTTCATACCCTTAGAGGACGTGTTGAATACTGCATCCAATTTTTACCATATTCAAAATTTAACATTTTTTTTCCACTGAAATATCTCTTTGGTTTTATATTACAAATAATTAAGAAAACAGGATTCATTAAACATAAATTTTTTCAGAAAACCTTGCTCTAATACTTTTTTGATTTATCATATAGCAGTACTCATTCTAAATTTTTTGAAGCAGGATGAATGCTTCAGTTCAACACTTATAGAGGAATCCATTTTTTATGTACAACTTCTTCAGATGTTTACTATTTAATAGCAACACCCAGAAGAGCCTACTTAGAATTGCTTCGTATAGTAATAGAAAATTTGAGCCTTTCATAGGTAGTAATGAGAGATCCTTTTTCTTTTTGTGACCTAGGAGCTGTGAAGGAAGAAATATCAGATATAGAACGTGCAGTAATGTGGTAAGTATGAAGTTCTCTGGTTGCAAAGATGTATTTTTTAAACCTTGGAAAGTGTTAAGAAATTTTATGTATTGTGAGCAAAAATGTCCCCAAGGTTATTATCTCACATTATATTAATTATACAGTCATTCTAATGTTCCTCAATGTAAACTTTTACCCACTGAGCCAGGTTGAAGCTAGCTAGACTGTTTCAAGGACTCTGTTTCCCCTCATCTCTCTGCCCTTTCACACAGAGGTCTCATTAGAAGTAAGTGGGAGGAATGACAGAAGAGAACACTCAGGCATCACGAAATAAGCATCAGTTAATCCAACTGCAATTTGACAAATTCATTCATCTGTTCAGCAGGTATCCTTCAGTGCCAGGTATGCGTGAGGCACTGCGCTAGCCCACAGATAAAAACGTGTGTCACTGTCTTAAATCATCTGTCGTGCAGTAAGGGGTGCAGAGAGGGAAGATACGTGTGTGCAACAACCATACTCCAGAGCAAAGTGTGACAATGCCATTGGAAAGGAACAAAGTTGTTCCAGATTAACACAGAGAAGTCAAAGGCTCTTGAAAGGAAAAGTTTATTTGAAACAGGGCTTGGTGGCTAGACTGGCCCATCTTAGCTGTGAGGGGAAAATCGATCCAAATGGTGGAGACATAACAGGCAACTTTGGAAGCAGGAACGTTTAGATCTGTTCTGAACGCTAATTTCAGTAAACTGTGCACAGCAAAATGCAAGCATTGAAAACTATTTAAGGTTATATGAGGTGTGATCAAAATATATGTAAATATTAATTTTTTAAAAAGGTTTATTACACAGTGAAAGCCGTGTTGCCATCAGCCCCTCAAAATACTCCTCCCTACTTGGAACGTTGTTATGCCACTGTTCTTGTCATTTTCTGGAACAGTTCTGGAAGCTGTCTTTAGTGAGTGTTTTATGAGACGTGGTCAAAAGCACAGTGACTGCTGCTGCCCAGGGCCATCCAACAGAAAGGCGGGCTTGTAGAGACACTGGGGTGTGTCCTCACCCACCATTCACAGGGTCTGGCCCTGCGCAACTGCTCGCTCTTCCCCGAAGTCAAAATGACTACGAGAGTAAACATCTTGCATCAATTCAGGACCGTGAGGCAGACAGGAGAGGACTTCCTCAACTGCTTCAGAAAGCGGCGGGAATGATGACATAAGTGTGCCCGAGGCAAGGGGGCGGGGAGTATTTTGAGAGGGATTAAAGGCAATGTGTCTTTACCGTAATACCTTTGTGTTTGTTTGTACATTCACCATATCTTTTGATCACACCACGTCAGCATATCGTGAAGAAGTTTGGATACAGTCTTCCAAGTGTGCGCTGCTCCCATGAATAATGGAGTTCTTAGAGGCTTTGGAATGAGAAGGTGAGAGGGAGATTCCCCTTAGGAAGGGTCGTTCCCTCGTGCCAGGAGGGCTGCACTGGAATGGGGAACGGAGTGCAAGAAGTAAGGAACGCTCAAACCAGGAGGAAATAGATTCAAGAGGGATCAAAATTACCGTCACTCTGCATGGCTGGACAAGCATTTGAAACTAGTGATGTGTTTGATCCTTTTGTTCAAGAAGCTCTTTCCTCAATATCTGCATGATTGGCATTTTTGTGATTCCGGTCTCAGTTCAAATTCCCCCCTCCCAAGATAGCTTCCTTGACTGTCCTGCATAATAACCCATCCCTCAAAATAGGTATGCACTCTTTACTTTCTTGAGGCATTTCTCTCCATCAAAAGTTGTCTTACTTGATGATTCTATTTTCTGTCTTCCGCCTTTAAAATATAAACTGTCTGAGGGCAAGAGTGTTATTGATCTCGGTTACTCTTTATCCCTAGTACCTATGACGGTTGCCATTAACACATACTAAGCACACATTAGAAGTTGCTGAATGCAGAATGAACATTCAGGCTTCTAGAAGCCTGATTAATGCATTATCAGAAACAATACAATCGGGAGAAGTTTTTGGAGAATACAATAATAAATTTGACTTAGGGGCACTATTGAGTTTGACTTGCAAGCTTAATTGTAAATGACATATCAAACTAAGCAACAGGTATATTTATCTGGGAGAGAGGTTAGAGCTAATGCCTTAGGAACACAAAGTTGGAAATTTTGGAAGCAGTTGTTTAGGTAGAGAGCACATGGAATGATGAGAGAAGGGAACATTGGATTTTTGTTGAATTGCTACATTCAAGCAGAAAAAGAATGTAGAGTCAGATACGCCACAAAAGATACCGTAAAGGAGAGAATTCCCAAAAGATGTTCCGTGGGGAAAATGTTGCCAAGTGGTTGAAGATACGGGACGCGAGAGAATGCAGCGTGCACGGCCGCCATGCGCTCCTCTCACAAAACTTACTCCAACTACTGATAAGTTTAAAAATCAAGTCGAGGAAATTCTTCAAAACATAATATGAACCATTTGTTTTAGAAATGATAGGAAACTTTTTTTAAAAGAAATGAAATTTAACACAGTGGTTCTCTTTACTATCCTTTTTATGGTAGCTTTATCTTAAATATCATTTTTTTTTATTTCATGCTATGATGTTACGGTCTTTCCTTAAAGACCTTCCCTTTGTGGTTTTTCGAATGGCAGAAAGGGTCCTAACTCTTCTATATTAGATCAGTGCCTACCGTGTCACGAGCAGATGTCTGCCTTCCCTGTCCTTAAAGCTCTCAGAACTACCCACAGTTTCCTTGCTTTTGTTATGAGCATTTTCATGGACTGACGCAGGCTAAGACTCTGGCCTAATATTACTTAACAACCCATAGCATTACAAGAGCCAAGTCTTTACAGCTTGTAGAATCAAACTGACATTGAATTTTTTATGAGAACCTAGAGTCTTCAAATAATCTGAAGATTTTTTTCTGGCTTTTGGCCATGACAGAAGCAGCAGTGCCAAAAAAACAAAAATCTCCTGAAAAAAGATCTTTTCATAATCACATTCCAATTTTTCAAACTTAGAACTTCAGGACAACCCGGTTAAATATTTCCCCTTAGACACTCGATTTGGAAAAACGAGTCTCTCAGCTCAGGCTCAGGATCACTCCTTAATCCTGAGACAGTTTCCCGGGACACTGCTGAGCTTCTTGGCCTCCACAGAGCCTCTTTTCCTATTTTCTGTACCTCAATATTTCTTCAGGTTCTTATTCCCCAACGCAAACTGAGGAGTAAAAATATCTCCCCACTTTTCCAATTTTTCTGGCTTTCCTGAATAACCAGCTCATAGACTTTTAAGAATGTATTGCCAGTCATTCTGCAGGTAGAATCTATCAGTACCTGAAAGTCAAAGTTCCCATAATGCTTACATAGTTCTCAGTCTCGGTTCTTACTCTGTTTCTAGCTGCTCCAAGAAGACCATTTTCATTCCTAAGGATGTAGTTCATCTAATCTTGCCCATATTATAGTTATCTGCTCTTTTGTAAAGTGGCAGAAAGACCATACCTCTTTGTGAACAAAGACTAAGGACACCATTAGGAAAAACAACGTGTATAACAATCAAACCATTCAAGCACGTCATTTAGTCTCAGAGATTCAACCACAACTGAGTGAATTCAAGAAGCCCTCAAAAGGTCTCTCTAGATCACTTCTTAATGTTTACTCAAACCAAATCTCAAATGTGATCCCCTTGAACTTAATTTGACATTTAAACTGACTTCCAAATTATTTAGAGGACTGTTTCATTGCTTATAAGCTTCTTTCTTCACTTCCTAAATCTTTAAGTTTGATTTGGTGGATAGTGACTGTAATTAGCAACATAATGACCACAAGGTGCTTGCAGTAACTTCTGGTGTTCTTAAATTCTTTCCTAAGATCATAGTGCCCCACTGCAGAGTTTTACTGTTCTTAAAACAAAAATATTTTTGGAGCAAGACAGTTGTTCTCAGCTTTGGATAAATTGGTGAACAAAACCCAGTTCTACTGAAGTTTTCATTCTAATAAATAAAAACAGATTATAAACATGCAAGCAAGTAGTCTGAAAGAAAAATATATCAAGTTGCGGTCAGTGCTATGCAGAGAATTGTTCACTCCAGATCTGGATAATTGGGGTGGTCCTCTTGAGCAATGATGTAGGGATGGCAGGAAGAAGCCAAAGGTGTGAGCACCCATGACATCCATGAGAGAGCAGTCCGCGTAGAAGGAACAGATCGCGCAAAGGCTCTGAGGGGCCCATGAGCGTGGTGAGTGCAAAGATAAAGACAGCACCTAGTGAGGGTGGTGGACCTCTTGGAGGCCGAGGGCCAAACTGCAACCCAAAACCACTTATTTGTCCCCAAGTGCCAACGCTGCGATTAAACTTGAATGCTGAGATTTCAGTTTAGAAAGGCAACGACCTATGAACAGCTTCTCTCTTAAAAGAAAAACATAACAACACACATGTCATAGGTTCGCCACCACTGATCTACAGTGTACGGATAAGGAAATGAATACTGGGAGATAAAAAATAAAATCAAAGGTAGTGAGGAACTAGGCCATTTGGGATATTGTGAAATGCTTGGGCTGTGTCTTAAGTACAAAGTGAACCTCCTGAAATATTTTAAATAGGGAAAATAGAATCTGACCTACAGTCTAGAGGAGAACTGCGGCTCACTCTGGGGGGTGGGGGGAGGCAGGGCATGAAGGCAGAAATAACTAAGAGAGCCGAGGCTATTCAAGGGAGCACTCATGCCGCTTGCATGGGAGCAGCACTGGTGGGAAGACCTGGGCGGAGCTTAGAGATGAAATATCTTCTCCTGAGCCATTTTACCTCATCCTCAGTTTGACCCAGCTCACTGTCATGGTCTCCAGCATCGTTGTCATGGAAAGTCTCCTGTGTGCCATTGTAACAGAAGCCGAGGGCAGCAGCTGTTATGGCCAGAAAGAACAGACTAGTTCTGGCAAGTTTTTAGCTTACTCTGGCCACCGGGTTTTACACCCAGTGAGCGTGCTGAACTGAGTAACCCCGAAGGTCTCTTCTAACTCTTACACTGTACAGTTCTTTATAAGTATATCTGATTATGG